AAAGGAGAAAAGTTTCTGAAGCATTTTAATGTCATCAAACTCAGTTCTCCTGAACAGGAGTTTGGCTGTTGCCCATCACTATTAACTGGTCACTTTATATTTCCAGTGGAGTAATAGTGAAATGAGTTATGATTTAACTTCAGAATTGTTGTATTTTGTGCTCAAACTTTTGTAAAAGGAGATCCTTCCAAGAAAATTGAAGTGCTAAATGCTGAACATGGGAAAAACACTGTCACTAGATGGAGCCAGTGGCCTTTGTATGAAAGGAGCCCAGAAATACCCAACACAACTGCTGATAAATCTTCTCACTCCTCCTTAAAAGTTAAACAAAGACAGGTTTGGATTGGTAATGCAGAGACAATAATTTCATGTGTCTTAATACTGGTGAAGGCCATCCTGGAGTTATGGGTGGTGCACAGATTTGTTGATTTTGTTCAGCTAAAGTGAGGAAGTTCAAGTTCATGTATCTGACTAATTTAAAACTGCAGAAATCACAATTCTTGTAACACAACTCCTCCCAATGCAGGCTCAATACCAAGGGAAGCAGCAGCTCACCTGTTTTACTAGGTTGTGACTTTCAACCACTAAAGCAACACTTTAAAACAAAGGGTTTTCTTTCCAGCAGGCTCATTTCTTTGCATAATTTGCATGTTTTTGAAGGGTAGGTTAATATTACTAAGGAATGATATTTTGGAAAAGTTACGTGTCATTCTTCATACTTTTGCAGACTTTAAGTGATGTTCGAAATTTGAATTTTCCACCATTGTTCACTCAGAAATATGCACAAGAGGTAGGTACAGCTGATGTATTAATTATAGCCTTTTCATTAATAATTGCAGTTTTTTTCCTTTGCTTTCCAATTGCTTTGTAGGTGAAAATGGAGAAACCAGGTAGCTTTCATGTTATTAAGGTGCATTTCCCTATCCCAGTACTCCTTTACATTGCAAAGTATAACATTGCAATAATGGGCACGATGCCACTCCTGTCACTCTGTTCCTCCAGGAATACATTTATACCTGGCTTCCCTTTGTCACTTGCAGCCATTCACTTCACATACATCCTGTCATGATTTCCTGCAACAAATCCATATTCCCAAAGAGAAAATGCAAAGCTTCAGACAGGTAAAAGAGAGGCTCTAGGTAGCACCATGGCTGTGTGGGATCCCCTCCAGAACTGGACCTCCCAGGAGGGAAATCCCCATGAGTAAATTGGGCTGTGTTCTCATTAGTCAGGTCTGGAAAGTGATGTGGTGGCAGGTAAGAGGAGGTGATGTCCAAAACCTCCCCAGTAAAAAGCTGAGGTGCTTTCAGGTGCTCAGGGTACCTTCAGACCAGTGGCTAAATGAGAACAGCCTTTCCTGCTTTACAGCTGAAAGCTGCCTGGGAGAAGGGGCTGTGCTGTGCTCAGCTGGAGCAGGACACTAATTCTGACTAAATTTGAAACAAATGTTCAGACTAGTTGTACATTTAAAGGAAAAATTCTAATTTGCCACAAGAGAAATTCAGTGTGGCTAAATATGTGATGGCTAAACATGAATCTAAAAATTACATATAAATTATGTATCATACATTTAACTTTGATTGCAAATAATGTGAAGTTTTTTATAACCCTATTAAACCTTGAATCCAGTGACAGTAAAGACATTTTTAAGAGATGCACAGTGATACATTTTAAAATATTTAGTGCACATCTACCTACTGAGCCAAATAACACCCAAATAACTCAGAAAGCAGCTGGGGTTATTTTCCACTACTTCACACAGCCACAGCTGAAGTCAGGACATAAAATGAGGAGGAGTTTATGGATTGGTTCATGGAATTTGTGTTGTCTTTTCTTTCAGTACACCATGGTGAAGGACATGCTCTCTCCAAGTCCCACTGAACGCCCAGAGGCTGCAGCAATCATAGAAAATCCTGTCTTTGAAGACTTGGAGCTGCCCCCCAAGCCCGTGCTCAGGCAGAGGTCACGGACAATGAGCCTATCAGGAAATAAACATTCCAGACAACCAAGCAAATAACTATCCTCAGGATCACTTCTTCCACTCGGCAGGTTTCGCAGGGATTGTTCAGCAGAAGGATCCTACGATGCAGAATGTTTATCTTGGGAATAGTTTACTTCAGCTTTTTTTGCCATGTTTAATGTACAAGACATGTTGGACGGATTTCTGTTTACTCTGACAGCCAAGGAAGCCCAGTAACCAAACCTTTCACATTCCATTTTCCTTACCTTTGCTCTCCTAAGCGGACAGGTCCAGCTGCTGTGCTTGCCAATGTTGTGCTCCATTTTCCTTTTTTGGGGGGGTTTCTTGGGTTTTTTTGAAGCTTGTAAATGTCAGCTTGCTGGGTGAGTGAGAGATCTGTAACATGTAAATAGAATTAAAATACTGTATTTTTATAGAGCAAATTACAGTCTCTAAGCCTAGTGAGTGTCTATCCGGGTCACTTGCTCTTTGGTGAAATGAAGATGATTTTGAAATTAACTTTGACTCCATTTTTGTCCCTGGTGGGTAAACTGGGAATCTGCACTATTTTTAAAGCAAAAAAGTACCACAGTTGTACATATTGTCACTGTCCATAGCCTGTCATTAGAGGAAATCATTTCATACTTCTGCACTACAGTAGATCTTAGGGAATGCATCTTACACGGATGAAGCTGTAGAGAAGGAAAAGGAGCTTTTTGCCATTAAATGGGGGGTTTTATAGGCAGTGGTTGGAAGAGCCATAGTCAAAATTATGTACAAAAATGTTGTGATTCTGAAAATTTAAACCTAATGAAGTCATACATGTCGTATGTAATCTTGTAGATTTGTACTTTTTAAAAAAAAAATCAACTGGTAGGCATTTGTGTAATCTGCTAATTTAACTGCCTAATGCCATGCTTTTATTTCTCACTGTAAATATGTTAATTTTTATTTATAAAATACAGAATCAATCCATTTGGGTTGGTGGTGTACAGGATGCACTTGTTGTAATTGTTGAGTGCATTGAATTACTGTGACTTCTTTCAAGTCTAAATGATTTAATAAACTTTTTTTATTTATAAGACAAAATAGTAGTTGCTTCTGTTGGAAGCCTGCATCCGTGTGTGCTGCAGGTGGCAGCCCTGTGCAGTGGGAACAGGATGGGCTCTGCATTCCTGAAACTTCCTTTGCTTCCCTGTCTCACACTGGCCACAGCGTGTGTGATGACGCAAAACCCAGTGTGCTGCTTGGAAGGGAGACAGGATCTGGAGAAAGGAGGGAATTGAGCTCTAAACTGGGTGAATTATGGATGCAATTGCTCACCAGAGAGGGGAGAAGGGATAATTCTTATGCTGTTACAGCTGGTCTTGTACAGTTTCATTTTTCTCTTTTACAGACTTAAATCTGTTAAAGTGTCTGAGCTCAGTTTCCTAAAAAGATAATGGACTCAAATCCTCCTGGGGATTACTCTGCTGTGCTGTGACACTGTGACAGCAATCAAACCAGCTGACACCCTGCAGCTTTGTGATAAGGCAGGAGTGGATTACAATGATTGTCTTCCACATCCTCTTGGATAACTCTCCCAGATACTGGCTCGTCCAGGTGAAACCAGAATGCTGCAGTGAGTGCCTGATCAGGAACAGAATTTGTGTTTGGCTGGGTTACAGCAGGAGAGTTAAGGGTGTCCTCTTCCTTGCATGTCCCTGTTTGCATCAGCAGCACAGTGAAATGGCCACGTGTGGAGCCTCTGCCTTCCCTGCCAGCTCAGTGATTACAGGTGGAGCACAGGAAATGAGGATTAAGGTATTTTTAACTTGCTGTGTATCTGGATGTGGGTAGCTGCCTATTCCAAGGGCCCTGCAGCATTTCAGTACCAGAACTGGCACATGTGTTCACACCAGGTGTGTCTGCATATTCTGGGATGTTACATTTGCCCTCAAGGGGGTGGATGAGTCCTCCCCTGTGGGGTCCCTGCCCAGCCACAGAAGCATCTGGCCTTGCTCAGCTCTGAACTGCCTGGTCAGTCTTTGTTTCTCTAAACATTGGAGTGTGTTGTCCCTGTATTTGTCCCTTATTGCTCCAGGGTTTGACAGAGAAAGGCTCTTCCCTAACCTGGGAGGTTTTCCTCTGAATGGTGGGCACTTTCCTGCCAGCTGTTTTATGGAAGAACACCCAAACTGGGACAGCTGTGAGCTCACAGCCCTGCAAAAGAGGCTTTGGCCTGGGGTTCTGCTGTGCTGTCCCGTTGTTCCGCAGGATATTGCCATCCCTCAGCTCCTTTCGTCCCCCGTAGCTCTTGGGAATGAAACCCCATTCCTTGTCCTATCATATCAAAATGACAGAGCAGGATTTCTGCCCTGTCACCTTTGTGCCCACAGGATGCTTCCCCCAGAAGAAGGTGGAGGTAGTTACCATTTCCATGTTGTTGCTGGAGTCCAAGGGTCTGGAACACCTCACCCTCTCCATGGAGGGTCATTTCACAGGAGAACCACTGTTGAACCCCAGGTCAGGGCTGTTTTTTCCACCAGGCTCTTGAGACAGAATTCCTGACCCTTGTGCTGTTATCTTCAGTAGCTCAGCTGCTCCAGGCAGGTCCTACTGCATTTTGCTACCTCTGAGGACATTCCCCTGCTAGCTTTTCAGAGTAACCCTTCAGTGAGGCACTTGTGGCTTTCCTGCAGGGAGCCAGTGCTGTTGGAAGTTCAGACGAGCACTTGAGAATAGTAATAATAATCATTTCCATTTATCTTTTTTTTTATGTCTTTCTGGTAGATACCACAGTGTACACACAATAATTCCTGTTCACATCCCATCTTCAGCCACTGTAGCTTTGAAACTGCAGTGCTCCTGCTGTTACAGCAAGTCTCTGTCATCTCCTGGGGTCTGCCACAGGGAATGTCCCCTTCCAGAATTAACAAGGAAACCTACAGATAATTCACAGAAGGCCATGGAAAGTTCTGAATATCCAGGTGTTGCAGAAGCCAGTGAGCAGAACCCTGAGCAACAGCCCAGGCTGCAGAGTGGTGCCTCTTTAGGAAGTGAGCACATCCCTCCTCCAATTCCCATACACAGACTGGCACAGGTGGAGTTATTAAAACTGGTCAAGTCTGTAATGAAACTTCGAGGTGAGAAGCTACAGTGGCTTGATAAGAAACACTGTCCCACCTGACACAGATCACCAGGATGTGCACAAATGTAAGGTCACGTTACACCATACTGGTTTGGTGGTTTTTACCCAACATGAAGGTTGAATTTGTCGTAGAAAATTCTCATTAGAAAAATAATTATCCAGGAATGAATTAGTTCCATTAATATACAACATATTGCCTCTAAAATATCTGATTTCTTTATGTGGAAGGTGAAGAAATGCATCTTTGTTGTGTTGTAATATTCCAGCCCCTGCTTCCCCTCTTTTCCTACCCTTTGTTTTTCCACTGGGACGTGCTCCAGCGCTTTCTGTATCACCACCTCCAGCGCCTGCTCCTCCTATGACTTGGCTTTGCCCTTGGGGGCACCGTTGGGCGCCGCCGCGCTGTATTCCAGCTCTGGAGCGGTCTTGGAAAAGGTGGCTATGGAAACCATGTCTTCCCCAACGTCCACCTGAGACCTGCGCCTGCACAGGAGCAGCTTCTTGAGGGCGTGCTGGAAGTCCCTGTTGAGGAAGGCGTAGAGCAGGGGGTTGATGGTGGAGTTGCAGTAGCCCAGCCAGGTGATGATCTTGAAGGCGCCGAGCAGCACGGAGCTGGTGGAGTCGCTGCCCCTGGCCGCCAGCCACACGTTCAGCACGAAGTAGGGCAGCCAGCACAGCACGAACACGGAGATGATGATGCTGATGGTCCTCGTGGCCTTGTTCTCCAGCTGCAGGTGGTTCTGCCTCTTGCTGTTGGGGTGGTAGTGGATCTCCAGCGTCTGGGACATGATGCGGGTGGCCTTGAGGCGGGAGGCTCGGTAGATGAAGAAGTACATGCTGCACATGACCATGAAGGGGAGGAAGAAGGCCAGGGCAGAAGCCACGATGGCAAAAACCCAGTTGGTGACAAAGATGCATTCCCTGCCCGCGTCAAAGTCCACCCCGGGGATCTCATTCCAGCCTTGCATGACGGGAAGGAAGGAAATGAGGGAGGAATACACCCAGACCGTGCAGGTCATCACGATGCATCTGCAAAAGGAAAGAGATGCAGAAGGGAGGGAGGGTCTGAGTAATTTTGGGCTGAGAACATGCAGTACATTTCAATCCCCATGGTAACCTGGGTGGGATATCGCTGCTGAGCAGTCCAGCAGGGCGTGCAGAAGGGAAAAAGCTGGACTGTAACCAGTCCAGACTTGTGTATCTCTAACAACTGGGTAATTGGTCTGTAGTCGACAGAACTAGGGTCAGCTCAAGGAGTGCTCAGAGCTGGCTGAGAGAAGATGAGGAAAGGTTTTACAGAAGATGTTTGTTAGTATTTGAAACAACAGCATGTAGATATTTTTGCTTTCAGCTTTAGTATGTGGCTGTTATCTCACCCTCTGGGGCCTGATGGGGATGGAGCTGATGGACACCAGCTAGCAGAATCTGCAAGGGGGGACACGGAGCCCCTTCCTCTCTTTGCCTGTGATCCACAAATCACACACAGCAAGAGTGACAGTGGGGAAAACATGCCTGAACCCACCCTGTAAAGCACTCCACCCCTGCAGTGTCCTCTCTGCCCTCCCTCAGATGACTTTCCCCACCCTGCAGTCCTCATTTCAGCCTTTCATATGAAACCCTCATGGGAGCTCAGGAACTCTCCTTGTTTTCCCTGACTATCACTTCAGAAAAGATGGTGAGTTTGAGAGGGAGGACTACTGTTACGTGCATCCTTCTGGGTCTCCTTTCACCTAGTCCTTAGAAGTCCTTTCCCATCTCTGCAAATGTTTAAGGCCAAGGCTTGAGCAACCTGGTCTAGTGGAAGGTGTCCCTGCTCACAGCAGGGGGATGGAACAAGGTCATCATTAAGGTCCCTTCCAACCCAAGCCATTCTGTGATTCTATGAAATTCCTGACTGCGCAGGGAAAAACCTGTAGGTCCAACTCAGCCCATATCACTGGTTTCTACCCCATTTTGCAAGCCTTCCTTAGCTAAAAAAATATTCTCCCAGGAGCACCATCCAACCCCCTCAGCTGCATCCACCTTGTTCTCTCCTACACCACATTAAGCATTTTCTGCAGTTTTAAATGGTGAAAGTTCCTTTTCCCACATCACTCTGCTTCTGGGCAGCGCCTGAATGATCTGAGCTCATCCAGCCTCACATCAGTGTAGGCTACTGTGGTATTTTCAGGATCCTCCAGATGGAGGAGGAATTGAGAATCTGACTCCATTATATTATATTATATTATATTATATTATATTATATTATATTATATTATATTATTCCTAAAGACTAGAGAAAGGATTCAAACAAAAGGCTAAAAATTAATAATGAAAAACTCGTGACTCTCTCCAGAGTCCCAACACAGCTGGATGGTGATTGGTCATTAAGTCAAAACAATTCACATGAAACCAATCAAACAATGATCAGTTGATAAACAATGTCCAAACCACATCCCAAAGCAGCAAAACACAGGAGAAGCAAATGAGATAATATTGCTTTCATTTTTCTCTGAGGTTTCTCAGCTTGCCAAGACAAGTAATTCTGGCAAAGGGATTTTTCAGAAAATATGAGAGGGACAGGCCATGGCCAGTGACAGCCTGGAGGGAGCCAGAAGGAGGAGCAGCTGCACTCACCTGCCCCGGGACATCCTCCTGGAGTAGTGGTAGGGGGTGACCACGGAGCAGTACCTGTCCAGGCTGATGAAGCACAGCGTGACAATGGATGCGGTGCAGAACATGACGTCGAAGGAGATCCAGACTTTGCAGAACAGCTTCCCAAAGAGCCACATCCCTGTCACCTCGTAAATGATGCTGGGAGAGAAAACAGGTGGAAATCAGAGCTGGAGGTGCAGTCTCTGCAGGTGTATGAGGCCAGGCTGGGTGAGCAACCTGGTCTAGTGGAACGTGTTCCTGCCCAGGGCTGGAACAAGATGATCTTTAAGGTTCCTTCCAACCCAACCATTCTGTTTCTACTTCTTTGTGACTGAGGAAATGCTGTATTTTATTTTATACTAAAGGTGAGCAGCTCAGACAGCAGAGATTCCTCCTCCAAGCACAACCCAAAAAAGGAGCACCCTGTGGTATTTTCAGGGTCCCTAGGATGAAGGAGGAATTGAGAATCTGATTCCATGTACTTAGAAGGCATATATATTATATTATATTATATTATATTATATTATATTATATTATATTATATTATATTATATTATTATATTATATTATATTATATTATATTATATTATATTATATTATATTATGCTATGCTATGCTATACTAAAACTATACTAAAGAATAGAGAAAGGGTACAGACAGAAGGTTACAAAGAATGATAATGAAAACTCATGACTGCTTCCAGAGTCCCAACACAGCTGGCTGTGATTGGTCATTAAGTAAAAACAATTCACATGAAACCAATCAATCAATTACCTGTTGGATAAACAATCTCCAACCGCATTCCAAAGCAGCAAAACAGAGAGAAGCAATCAGACAATATTGTTTTCCTTTTTCTCTGAGGCTTCTCAACTTCCCAGGAGAAAAATCCTGGGCAAGGGGATTTTTCCAGAAAATAGGACAGTGACAGCACCCCACACCTAGAGCATGAGTGAGCAAGAGCAAAGCTGTGCTTCTTGCAGCCTAAGTGCCTTGAGAGAGGTGCCTTGCCCCACAGAGCTCCCCAAATTTACATCTGCACAGCTTTGTTTATCACGGCCTTTTCCCAATGCCTGGCACAGCACAGTCTTTTATGATTTCTCCCCAATTCCTGGAGCATGGGACATCTCCAGGAAACTCACTTCACACCCAATCAAATGCTTCAAAACCAGAGAGGATTTCCACTCTTGGTTAAAAAATACAAAACAACAGCCTAGGAGGAAGCCCATGCCGCCTGTACATTACGTGGCTCATAAACGCCTCAGCAAGGTAAACACAGCAGCAAAAACAGACACAGTACCAAAAATATTCCTAACAAAGTCAAGAGGGGCCTGTGAGAAGTGAGCAGTGAAGGAAGGAACATATGGCAGCTATAGGAAGGCTGATGCCTGTTCCTGTGGCAGTCACTGAGATGCCATTTGCTTCTTTCTTTTCCAGCTTTCTGCAGCTCCTGAGGTGCTGCTGAAATCACCATTGTCAGGGAATTTAATGGGTAACTCCCTGGTCCTGCAAAGCTTTAATTATCCTGTAACTCCCCAGCTTTATGGTGAAACGCAGCGAGCCCAGGGCTGCTGAGCTGCCGTGCTCAGGTGTCCAGCAAGGAGGAAAGCTTCACCCTGATGGCAGAAAGCAATGCCTGAGCCACGTCTCATCACACCAGCTCACTGAATCGGTTTGTGAAGGCTGTTCCAGAGCACAGCAACTGCTGTAGGTGGGGACAGTGCTGCTGAAGGGCCCCAGCCCTCAGCAGCTCTTTGTCATGTGGGATTCCATGCAAAAATCCAAACAAGGTACAGCAGAGCCTGTTCCTACACCACGGGCAGCACGGAGGATCCACAGCACGCTCACGGAAAGGTTTCATGGCTCTTTTACAGAGGGAAATGAGGCATTGAACTGGAGCACAGGTTCAGCTCTGGACTTGGGGGCTGCTCTGCCATTCCTCAGAGCCCTCCTGACCCCCAGAGATGCTGCAGAGCTGTGGTGTGCCCTGGGCTCCCAGAGGGAGATGTGCTGCTGTGGGACAGCCTTGCTCACAGATCCCAGGTGAGCAGGTGTCCGTCCGGCTGTCTGTCTCTGCCTGGACACGAGTAGGATGGCCCTGGGACAGCCCGCGCTTCAAAGGACGAGTCTGGACTCTTCAGATCTTCAGTCTTCAGATTGTTCATTATTTCTTGTCTATAGAATTTTATTTCTGCCCGACAGAGGTCTGACCAGCAAAGCAGCCAAGGGCACTCTGACCTCCCACTGGGCTGTCGTCTCTTTTTATACTAAAAACTACGTACATCATATTTACCTTTATTTCCCAATACCTTTCACCCGTATTAGCAAGTGCACCTCCACCATGAACCAGTCCCAAAGTGCCAACATCACCACAGAAAATGGATGACAAGAAGAAGAAAGAAGGACAAGACACACCCTGATCCCTCCATCTTGTCTCCATAACCCCCCTGTTCCAAAACCCTAAAATCGGTATTTCATTCTGTAAATACATTATTCTTACACCATTCATTCCCAAGTGACTCTCATGTCCTCAAACAGGTGGCACATCCCTCAAAGGGCCAAAGTCAAGCCACCAGGTGCTTTTGGCAACATTCCAAGATCTCCATGCCCCACAAGGGTTGTCTCGGTAACTCTGGACATCCATAGTGATGTGCTGAGTTCCCACAAGCAGGTGCCCAGTTCTCACCTGCACACACCTGACCTGCAGACATCCTCACAGCGTGGGGAGATGGACACCTGAGGCCTCTCCTCCGAGGTAAAAAGTCTCTGCAGCTTGGAAATGCTGCTGGAGAAGAAGGAGTTGTAAAAGCCAAAAAAGCCCCCACACAATGAAGTCACCCCTGCCTTGCCCTTTTGCTTGCAGAATAGCTGGAAATATTCAGCCTGGAAATGACAGACTGGCTGGAGTACTCAGGCAACGAGCTAAGCTCACTCCTGCAAACCAGCCAAGACAGGAACAAAAGAAAAATCTTACTCTTATGAAATTAAGACACCAAGGACAAATTTGTTTTTCCCTTCTGCCACATTTTCCTGAGCCAAACTGCCTCCTAAGATCATTTCTTTCCATTCCCTTTGGCACACAATAACCTGCCAACCGAGGAGCAAACTGAGATCCAAAGGAGCAGCACAGATGTGAAGCCAAAGCAGTGGGAAAGAGTGGAACAGCAGGAGCAGGGCTGGCCAAGGGTCCATTCCTCAGCAGGGCCCCACCAGGAGCTGCCAGGGATCCCCACCAGGCAGCACCAGGAGGGGCACAAAGCACCAGCCACGCTCTCATCTTTGCTCCCCCTTGTAGTTTTGTTCTTCAAGTAAAACATCACTAAAAGTAGATTCAAAATAGATAGGAGGAAGAAGTTTCTTACAGTGAGGATGCGCAGAGAAGCTGTGGCTGCCCCATCCCTGGGAGTGTTCAAAGCCAGGGTGGATGGAGCTCTGAACAACCTGCTCCAGTTGCCTGTGTCCCTGCTCAGTGCAGGGTTGGGTTAAATGACCCCTAAAGGCCCCTGCCAACCCAAACCACACTATGGTTCTGTAATTTCAGAACCTGAACTTTCAATTCATCAAGCACAGAATCTAAGTTAGTAGCAAAGGTCTTTCTAAAAGAACATCATTAGCTGCTTTTTTTTCACCTGATACCATGAACTTTTAACTCAGTTTGTAATTGCTTGTTAGGACAATGTTTTCCAGTGCCAAATTCAAAGGAATAGGCAGCCCAATGAGAACTCAAGCATAGAAAATGGAAATAATTCAGCTTCCTCATATTGCCCCATGAACTCAGGGTGCAGCTCCCTGATTTGCACAAACCTCTGGCTGCTTTGCAGGACAAGACAGCCAGGACCACAAGCCAGCTGCTTTCTGCTTTTGTTTCACTGTTTTAGCCAGGTAGTGCAGCTCCCATAAATATAAACCTCATGCAGGGACACCTGCCCTCTCCAGAGCCTCTTCCTCCATGAAATGTAGGGGAAGCCTAAATTACCCAGCTTATCCTGAATAAATTCCTTACATCCCATATGCAGGGCTGGTCCTGGAAGGGGGAGCAACGACTGGAGCTCCACATACAAAGCTGGAAATCAAGCTCAGATCAGCAGCCTTGTGTGGCCAGCAGGAAAAATCCCCTTGGGAATTGTGTCTGTGTGCATGATAAGGGATTATAACACAGAGCAGAGACAGGGAAGCACACACAGCCACCAGCCCACGGCTCAGCCCTTTGGAGAGCCCAGCAGGTGAATCCCAGCCCTGCTCTGTGCTGCTTGTGAGGGGCTCCAGGACGAGGGAAGAGATGAATCTGAAGGCTGATATATCAATATATATCATTATATTATGTTATGTTATATTATATTATGTTATGTTATATTATATGTTATGTTATATTATATATTATGTTATATTATATATTGTTATACTATATTATGCTATGTTATGGTACACTATATATTATATTATATTATATTATATTATATTATATTATATTATATTATTCATACTATACTAAAACAATACTAAAGAATAGAGAAAGGATACAGACAGAAGGCTAAAAAATAATAATGAAAAACTCATGACTCTCTTCAGAGTCCCAACACAGATGGATGGTGGTTGGTCATTAAGTCAAAACAATTCACATGAAACCAATAAAACAATGACCAGCTGATAAACAATGTCCAAACCACATCCCAAAGCAGCAAAACACAGGAGAAGCAAATCAGATAATATTGCTTTCATTTTTCTCTGAGGCTTCTCAGCTTGCCAAGACAAGTAATCCTGGGCAAAGAGGATTTTTCAGAAAATACCACGGTGACTTTGCTCAGGGACAAAGGATGTTTGTCCTCCTGTGCTCCCAGCCATTCCTCACCTGAAGGGCATCACCAGGCAGGCCACCAGGAAATCAGCCATGGCCAGGGACATGATGAACATGTAGGTGACCGTGCGCAGCCTCTTCTCCACCACGGGGCACAGGAACACCACGGTGTTCCCCAGCAGTGTCACCACGTCGATGAGGGTGAGGACGAGCCCCACCAGCACCTCCTGGAGCCCAACCCCTCCCCGTGCCAAGGAGGAGGCAGCAGAGGAGAAATTGGAGAGCCAGGATCCGTTCCTGTCCGTCAGCATCTTCCCGCTGCTAAAATCTGAAAATCTAAAAGGGCAGAAGCACAGTTACCTCAATGATGGTTTGTAGGTGTGGGAAAGGGAGGATGGAAATAATATTTATGCTTCATTTTCTCCAGGAAAAATCCACACACCCTGCCGTGGCTGTGTCCTGAGTTAGCAGCCCATTAGAAGTGTCTGAAATCCTGAGGGTGAGATAAATGTGAAGCATTGACTGAAGTCCTTCACAGCAATTAAAAGCCCTCCTGTGAATGAAAATGCATCATCAGATGAAGCATGAGAACAGGAAAAAAAAATAGAAATGTACTGAGAGCAGAGAGAGGGAAAGGAAACAACTGAAATCAAAAATTGAAGCAGCTGGGCTAAATCCCACTGAACAGCATGCCAAGTCCACATAATGTGGGGGCTGGAACTAAATGATCTTTAAGGTCCTTTCCAATCTAAACCATTCTGTGGCTCTGTATTCTCATCACCATCTTTGCCACCCCCAGAGCAGCTGGGGCTGCTTGCCCAGCCCCACTGTTCAGTCTGTGCTGTGCCCCGGGTTGTCCTGGTGCTTTTTCACACTCTGAATTTTGGGAGTTTTTTAGTGCCACAGTGGGCAGCTCCATCCTCCAGCCTGAATGGCCAAGCAGGGCTGCCAGCAGCTCCACAGGGAGCAGAATTGTGGAATCACAGAAGGATTTGGGCTGGAGGATCATCACATTGGGGTGTCTCAGGTGCAGCCCTGACCCCACAGTCAGGTTCCCTCTGTGCCCAGATGGGAGGTGATGCTCCCAACTCCTTAATTGAGGATTTTTCTGTTGAGGAAATCCACATGTCTGTGTCCACAGCTCAGTTCTCAGACTTTACAAAGTGGTGTCACTTTGTAGGTGGGAATGATGCCCTGCAGAAACTCCAGCAGTTCAAAGCTCACTGGTGTAGCTGAGGGAACACAAAGACAAAACTTGTGGGGAAAAGAGAGTTACAGAAATATTTCCTGATGAAAAATTGCTATATTTGAATATCATCACTTCTCCTGTGACCAGGATCTGCTTCCACAGGACCCTCAGGTGAATCCCACATCTCTGAGTGCAGTGTGAGGGTGGGCCTGGATAACATCCCTGTAGCCCAACTTGCCTCATCTCACAGAGGCCAAACTTTGTCTTAGGAGGGGTGTAAGAACAAGGCAGCAAAATGTTCCCAACATTTCTTTGTCCTTCCTGCAGCCTTTGGTCCAGAATTACCTCTTTAGATGTTTTCAATGATTTCTGAATCATGAAATTGTCCTGCTTCCTCTCTGGCCCAGCAACCTTTTAGCATCCATCATCTCCTACAGCAACAACTTCCACAGCTCAGCTCTGCACCCTGCAAATAAACACCTCCTTGTGTGGGAATCCATGAAATCAGAGGGTTTTGGGAAAGCTGCAGAAGGCAGCCTCAGAGAGAGCAAAGCTGTGATTAGAGATAAGCAGCAGCCATGAGATTGGTCAGCAGAAAAATTATGTAAGAAGCAGAAAAGTAAGGACAATTAGAACAATGTTCTGTGTATTAGTGCTTATCTAGAATAACTCCCTAAGCTGCAGAAGCGTTTATCTAGTGAGATATTAGGAAGTTCTAAGCTTGGTAATGGAGCTCTGTGCATTGTGTTTGAAGGCTCACAAGCAGGTATTGCATTCAAAATAAGCAAACATTGTTTTAACAAAGGTACGTGTACTTACAGAGGCTGGATAAATCTACTGTCAATGTGCTTCTGCTTTGTGTGATTGGTCATAAAGCTTTTAAAGTGAGCGTGTAAATATCACTATTTCATGATTCACAATCTCTAGAACCCAACATATCCCAACCCCTATCCCTGTGAAGAGCATCCCTGACCTCACTGTGAAAAATGCTTTTTTTTATGATTGGCTTTTCACAAATATGAAAATGAATATGATATGTGTTATGTTAGAAAGTTATGCTGTATTAATTTTCTTAAGTAGTGCATTGAATATAGTTTTAGGTTATAATATAAGGTTAAAATAGAAACTATGGTATGTAAGATACTGCTTTTAAAGAGAGGACTTGCACTGAGATAGCAGGCACAGGACACCTGAATCTTCCAGAGAATAAGAATTTATTGCTCCATTATCAGAAGAAATGAACTTCGTCCCACCTTGCTCAGCCCTGAAGGCGCTGTCAGGGTTCAGAGGAAGAAGCTGACACTGCCCAGACAGAATCCCATGTTTGAATGGGATTTATGCATCATGTATGAGGTGTATGAATGTGCAACAGGCTGTTGCTTTTAAGGGTTAATCCTCTGTTAATGTGGGTCCTTTTTTCGGGCTTATTTTGCCCAGAAAGAGGTACCAGGACTGTGTGTAACTCTTTGTTCTTATTGTCTCATATTGCCCCAAATTCTAATTGTCCAAATTATAATTACTCTAATTATATTACTATTTTTATAACCATTTTACTACTATTAAACTTTTAAGATTTTAAAAACGAGTGATTGGCGTTTTTCACACTCACCATGCACTTACCCCTCCTGCATGTCGCCTTTCAGACAAGTATTTTAATGTGGGAAATGGATTTGTAGATCTCTAAAAATCCATTTCCCACATCTTTTCACACAGGGAACTTTCTTCTTAATTCAGGGCTATTACATTTCCTTAAAAGCCCCCACCGTGAGGGATTATATTGAAAACCTTCCAGAATTCCTACACCACCCAGGTGTTTCTTTTCCACCTGCTGAGCTCTTCCAAGCATTCCTACACAACTGTGAGGTTGGGCTGCATTTTCTGAAAGCAATAGTGCCCTTGTTCTTGGATGTAATTATGTGCTCATGCACCAACTCATCCTTCAAAATCCTCAGCTCCATCCCCTGACTTCTGTTTATATGTTGGATTTAGTGGTTTCCTTTCTTTCAAGTAAAAAATAAAAAAAATTTTAAAAACAAAATTAAGAAAAGAGTCAAGCTGTCTAGAAAAGAAAAAATAAAGAAGGAAAGCTCTTCCTTATTGGAGCTGGGAGCCACTGGCTGAGACCTGAAGCTCTGCTGCTCCTCCAGCACTGAGAATAATCAGATTTTTTGGACATCATCTCAGGCAGCCCCCTGGGCCAGCACTGCTCAAAGTCTGCAGGGTGTCTTAAGTACCTCAGTCCTAATGAAAATATTCCTTGGACCACATTCCACATCCTGGTGACACCCCATAAAAATAAAATAAAATAAAAAATCCAGTCTCCAGCTCTCCCATAATTGCCAGGAGAGAGGATAATGTGTGCCATTCTGCCTAACTGCTCCACTGAGGGTGGCATCAGGCTGGAGGAGCTCCTGTGGAACAGTTGGGTTTCAATGCAGCCACATTTCCTGGCAGAAGGAATTGTTCAGGCTGTTCTCCTTCCCGTGTGTTCCACACAGGCAGCTCGGGGAGAGAGGGGTGGGAAATGCACAGGGACACAACTGGGAAATGCACATGGACATGAGTGGGAAATCTGCAGGGATGCAGCTGGGAAATCCACATGGACACAGATGGGAAATCCACAGGGATAGGGGTGGGAAATCCACATGGACACAAGCAGGAAATCCACATGGACATGAGTGGGAAATCCATAGGGACACAAGTGGGAAATCCACATGGACAGGGATGGGAAATCAACAGGGACAGGACTGGGAAATCCACATGGACACAGGTGGGAAATCCACATGGACAAGGATGGGAAATCCACAGGGATATGGGTGGGAAATCCACGTGGACACAGGGATGGGAAATCCACAGGGGACAGGGGTGGGAAATCCACGTGGACACAGGGATGGGAAATCCACAGGGGACAGGGGTGGGAAATCTACAGGGACACAGGTGGGAATCCACATGGACAAGGGTGGGAAATCCACATGGATATGGCTGGGAATCCACAGGGACACAGCTGGGAAATCCACGTGGACAGGGGTGGGAAATCCACATGGACAGGGGTGGGAAATCCACAGGGAAATGGGTGGGAAATCCACATGGACACAGCACATGGCCATACGGAAGCCAGGCTCCAGAACCCACCTTGCAAGGGTCATTCCCTGCTCCACAGCCATCTTCCATCTCATCTCCCACACCTGCTGGTGTCCTCACACCTCTGGCACCTCGACAAGGTCTGGAAAATGCCCTCTGACCCCACCTGGACTTGACCCCTAACCAGTTCAAACACTTGAGCACCACCCCATGAACCAAAAGGTCTCCAAGGACAGCATGCAGCATTAGGATAGGCTCCTGAACATGAACAGCAAAACATCAGGTTTGATGGAAAATCAGTGTTTAAAAAAAACCAAAAAAACTATGTCAAAAATTAAAGTTTAAAACATTCAGTCTCAGGTTTTTAAAAATCACTGTCAAGTTTTTGTTCATGGGCAGATGAGAATGATGGATGAGAATTCTGGATTAATTATTTGGGGTTTTATAGATGTAACACCGAGACAAGAAGGTTTTGAAGTCACACCTTCCTGCAAAGAATGACTGCTCCCACACGGTCATTAAGTTTGTATCAGCCTTAGAACGACTCTAATTAAAGCAGATCATTACTCACAGTGCTCTGTGAACACACACCACTCTCAAACTTGGAGCAGAATTAGGACACGGTTATTAGAACTCCTCTTTGCCAGCTCTTTGTGCTCCTCAAGCACCATCTCAGCCTGGGTTAAAGGTCTGCTCCAGTGAAAACTCACAGCAGCATTGTCCTAAATGCAGGACACATCCAGGAGTGTGGCAGTGCACAAAACCAGCAGATGTGCCCACACTCACAAAACCCCAGAGAAACACTCTTTTGTCATATTTTTTTTTCTTTTTATCAACACAAAGGGACTGAGGGACTGGAAATAAGGCTGCCTTTATTTGACATCCATGTCTCCAACTATAAAACCAAGAGATGATGGATTCTTGAAACTTCATGTTTGCACCTTGAACTCTAATTCAGGGTGCAGACAACAGGATCCTGCTGCTCCCGATCCCTCTTAAAAATCCCCTGTCAGAGCCCCTGGAATCTCATCCCCAGTCCCTGTCAGAGCCAAGCAGCCCAGGGTGGGTGTCTGGATCCTTTTGCCTCTGACTGAGAATCCAACCTTTAACCAAAGTGTGCTAAATTAAATAAGGTAACTAAAAAATGCTGCTCTCAAACTGCCTGGAGAATTGTCATCACAGGGAACCCATCTTAACCTCTTTGTAGAAATTATTGGGACAAATCAGGAAATGCCATCTTTCCCCCACTTCCTCATCTTAAAATATTGGAGCTCTTAAATACTCCTGAGAGCTGCAGCAGCCCCTGTGGTTACACTGCTGAGATAGCCCAGACTCTTTCTACAACATCATTCAGTCTTTCCTGTAGGAGAAACCTTAAACCAAAGGGATAAATGCCCAGTTGTACCATGATGTGGGATCTTCCCAGGTTTCCTGGACATCTCAGATGCTTTTGAGTTTTCACTGGTCTTTTTGTTGTTTTGGATTTTTTTGTTTTGGTTTTTTTGGTGTTTTTGTGGTTTTGTGGGGTTTTGGGTTTTTTTTGTTTGTTTGTTTGTTTGGGGTTTTTTTGTTTGTTTGTTTGTTTTTTGGGTGGTTTTTTTTTTATATTATGGTTTTACTTCCTTTCAAAAAACTGATGGGTTGCATTCTGCTCTGAGGCTGCCTGAGCAAAGCAACTCCACCATTTCTGCTCCCCTTCAACATCCAGAAAGTTTGAGCTAATGTATTCAGCAGACAAATCCCAAGCTAAAGGTTAATTTCATCAGTGAAAGGCATATTTTGATGGAAAGGGAGGGGGAAAAAAAAAAAAAACGAACCCAAAAAAGCTCTGCAATCTCAAGGCTGACTGCACTTTAAAATCTTAGAGCAGTGATGAAAACTGGAAATATATTGCTGGGAATTATTCGCTGCCAGGCTGTGCTGCTCTGCTGGATCAGGCACAAACCAGCAGGGAGCAATGCCTGCCCCAGGACCTCACACACCTTTCCTTCCTCCTCCTCCTCCTCCCCATGGGAGAACCGCAGCGCTCGGTGATTGCAGAGCGGTGCCAGCTGTTTGTCCAGCTGTGGGAGGCGGTGATAAAGGAGGGGGAAATGCCTGGGGATGCTTCCACCAGTGCAGCACGCACTCGGAGCAGCACTGAGCCTCTGCACTGACCCTCCTTCCCTCTGTCCAACTTTCCCCTTGGAAGGACAGCGTTTACCTGTGCACGACTTCTTTCCACCACCAAACCCGCGCTCCTGCAGCCTCTCGGAGAGCCGCGGGGTTGGGAACACAGCAAAACACAACAAACCACCATAAACCACAATAAACCACCATAAACCACAATAAACCACAATAAAGCACCATAAACCACAATGTCCTTACCTCGGGAAGTGTCGGCCGAAGCAGCCCCGCGGTGTCCCCAGCCCGGGGCGCGCTGTCCCTGTGGCCAGCCCGGATCCCTCCCCAGGGAGCTGCTCCCAGCCTGGCTGCGTGGGGATGGATGCTGGTTCCTGCCCCGAAGCGGGATAAAATCCTCATCCACAGCCGGCACCGCGTTTGGGATCACCCCCGGCAGCCGGGAACGCTCCTGCACAGCCACGGCAGGGCTGCCTGCCCCGGGGAGACATCGCAGCAATAACACCCGAGCAGAGGTCAAACCCGCGCTGCAAACACGGGGGTGCTCATCGTGCTTATCGGGAACTGAGCCGGGGTGCCAAAATCCCAAACCCTGGGGTGCCAAAACCCCAACCCTGGGGTGCCAAAACCCCAGCCATGGGGAGGAAAAACCCTCACCCTCTGGGGAGCAAAACCCCCAACTCCTGGAGTGTAAAAACCCCAATCTCTTAGGTGCAAAAGCCCCAAACCCTGGGGTGAAACAGCCCCAAACCCTTGAGTGCAAAACCCCCAAACCCTGGGGTGCAAAAGCCCCAAACCCTTGAGTACAAAAACCCCAAACCCTGGGGTGAAACAGCCCCAAACCCTTGAGTGCAAAAACCCCAAACCCTGGGGTGCAAACAGCCCCAAACCCTGGGGTGCAAAAGCCCCAAACCCTGGAGTGCAAAAACCCCAAATCCTGGGGTGCAAAAGCACCAAACCCTTGAGTGCAAAAACCCCAAACCCTGGAGTGCAAACAGCCCCAAACCCTGGAGTGCAAAAACCCCAAACCCTTGAGTACAAAAATCCCAACCCCCGGGGTGCAAAGCCCCAAACCCTTGAGTACAAAGACGCT